CCCAATATTGGAGCAACTTTAGAAATTCGTAAAAAAATTCAAATTTTATCTAAATCAGTTAAAACTTTCTACATGACATAAGAACATGCATATGTATCAGAAAAAATTATAAAAATAAAGGATCCTCTCCTAGTCATTTTTAGTGAAATATCCTGTACTTACATGGTCTTTGGCCAAAGGATGTAGGAGGAATAACATCACTATGACACTATTAATTTATAATTATCATTATCTATTATATACCCCTATTCTTGTCAATATTACCATTTGTTTTTGTTATTACAGTGAAGAAGAGAAATGCATACCGATACACACAAGACTCCTCGCTGCCTCATCAACTGCTGGTTGTATTGAATCAAAGGCACAAATTCTCTCTTGCTCTCTGACTTACTTTGATGTCCTCCGCTGCTCACCAAAGACCACTACAGCTACTGGAGCAGTCCTATAGTTAGCAAAGAGATATCCGATCCAGTTATAGACAAAGAATATCAAGAGGACATTGAGCTACACCTCACTAAATATGACGTGGCTGAAGCAATATCCTCAGCTACTAAACTAGCCGATGAAGGTCAGCTTGAATCAGCCAGAGCTACACCCCATCGCTGCAAAGCTCGCATCAAGAAGAGCGTTGTGTTTGGTTTGCCACTTGCAAAGTATTTTGAGGAGACGATTGATGAGTCCTTGAAAGGTTTAGCATCCCAGTCGCATTATTCTGGGCACGGTAAACCCTCAATGATGAATTACAGTTTATCTCATTATCAGCAACGATCTCACGGAGCTGGAGCTGGAGCCTCTTCAATATCGTCTGATAGGAGTGGAGCATCTCCTTCTCGCCTCTCTTCTAATCCTTATACTAATGCTATGAAATCATCAATGAAGTTTGCATATGCTAAAGTACATTTTGATAAAAACTAACTAAGTTTGGGACATCCTTTCAATATGTTACTTCACTTTTGTACTCTGTATAGTTATTTGTGCATTTTATAACTTTTATGCTTTCTAGATCTAGAACATTAGAGGTAGATAATGAATACTAACAATG